TATAAAATCAATTTTATTTATACTCTTGCATTTTTTTTTTTTAGTACTTAGCATTATTATGAAATTTCAAGGTAATCTTGTTTCTCTATTGTTCTAATTTTTTTTATATATTTCAAATTTTTGATATAAAAAACCTATTATTGATAATTATTTTTAATTAAAAAATATTTATTATATTTATAATTCATATAAACATAATATCAAAAATCACTATAATTGTATATCTAAGAAATAATAGTAATTTCTTTTTTTAAAAAAAATGCCAACTTATTTTTATGTTATGAATATATGTTTTATTATAATAAAGATAATATCTAAGAATAATTAAAATAAATAGTTATCCATACTGTTTAAGATTTTATAGATTGCTAAATAGTATAAAGACTAAATTATTTATATCTTATTTAATTGGAATAAATAATTATATGATTGTTTAGTATGGGTATTTTTTTTATTGTAATAAATTAATTAAAAATATTAAGATCTAGATCTGTATATATCACAACACTTTTTAGAGCCTAGGTTTACCAAGCAGTTTATTGTTATTCTCTAAGGAGAAAAGTTAATATGCTAAGAATTTATCTGAAGTATCCAGCACTATTGATATTGGGAATTTTTTATGTAGAGTCTTAAATTCCTCAGAAAAAATCAAGAATAAGTATTATTAAAGTAAACAATATAATTAAGAGAATGTGAATACTGTCTCTAGTTATTACAAAAATTTTATATTGTTTCACTACAGTGTAAAATGACAGCACATTAGTTCTTTTTCCTTTTAAAACTTTCTTGTTCTTAATAAGAAAAGTGTTTTTTAACCTTTGTGATTACTAGAAGTCAAGTTTTTGTTTGAAGAGAATGATAAACAAAAAAAAAAAATATTGATAACTCTTGAAGTTTCTTCAAGTTGGTTTAAGGAAAGTAATAAGACTTTATTAGTTTAGAAGTATAAAAAACTTTTTGTGAATATCTTTTTTGTATGTAACCAAAGAATTAGAAAAAATATTAACAATTCATAATAGTAATCTCCTTGCCTATTACTTGAATAAATAATTTGCTCGAATCTCTTTTTGCTGATTTTCTAATCATATACAAAAAAGATATTCTCAAGAAGTTTTATATTTCAAGGTTAATAAAATCTTATCACTTTCTTTAAATCAACTTGAAAATAAGATTTTCACAAGTCACCTTACAACCACACTATCTCTTTTTATATCTTGTTAAAAAAAAAACTTATTTTCTAGTAACCAGAAAAGACAATTTTATCCTTCTTACCAATGACAAGAAAGTTTTAAAAGGAAGTAGACTTGACTTTTCTATCTCTCTTTCACTTGCTATAGAAATACTAGAGAGCCTAGTTTGTAATGAGAGACTTTTTAGAAAACAACTCCACTATTCTTTTGTTATAGTGAAACTTCCAATAATACTTTTTTATAATTTTCTCTGAGAAATTTTGTCTACCTCAGTTTGATCCTAAATTTTAAGTAGCATAAAGTTTCTGGTACAATAATTGAACAATGGAAATATATCAGTGACCCAAGATATAAACAAGTCCCTATTGATCATCTCACATATCTGAATGTATTTTCTCAGTATCCATAAGAACTTGGGATCCACATAAGTTGCAAGCCAGTTATATGGGTAGATATAGAACATGAAATCTATGATGTTATTGACTACATGGAAGAAAAAAAAAAAACCTGGATTAGGATTAATTGGATAGTAAATAATAATCTTCTCTATTTCTTCCCCTTTTTCAGTATATACAATTAAAGGAAAAAGATTACAAGGTGTAAGGTCCTTTAGAAGAATTTTTGGTTACTTGGTACTAATATATTGGAAAGACAACTTCTTGATTCATTAAGCAATTATCTGGTTTCTTCAAAATACTTTCTTGATAGCATTATGATATAAAAAATTTTTTGATTGGTGCTAGTGGAGTTAAGGTTTCACATGAGGGATCCCCAACATAGGAGGTGATGGGTACTACAGGTGAATCCTTGACACATTAGCTCCCCCTCCTTATGAAATCTGGAGTAGCGATAAGTTATTCGGTGGGTCATGTTTTGTCATGTCTTTAAGGAGTGCCAAGAGTGATTATATAGATAATATAGTGAAAAATTTCTTTTTACTCAATGTTATTCCTTGTTTTGTTTTAGTAAATAGTATACTTACACTAGATGGTTATGTAATTATCTTATCCTGATTGGGTGAGATGTAAATAATTTGCTCTTTGTACTATTCATTGATCTGTAAATCCTTAGACAGTATGGATAATTATTTATCCCGGGTGTCCCTAGGTATCTTCTTGCTTTAATAAAACATGTTCACCCTGGCACGAGGATGAGCTAGCATTAAAAAAATAAATAAATAAATAATTTGCTAAACCACAATCTTCGGTCACCGCGGTGCCACCAAAAATTTACCTGATTACACCTTCCCTTCGAATTAAGACCATTACACATATTCAAAGAACGTTTACGTAGATTCCGGTGCTAATTGTAATATTATAGGCGAGAGTATAGCAAAAATAATCGGCTTGAAAATTAATGACACCTCCGATATAGAAATATACTGTACAATCCCATTAGCGAGTTCAATATATTGGAAATAATTCGTGCAATAGAGATTTCAACCCTGTCTCAAGACTATAAACAAGAGCAAGTAAAAGCTGCTGATATTTCGTTACCAATAAACCTGAGCTTGAATTTATACTGCTATTGGGTCAGCCATGGTTTCAGAAGAATGCAATAAAAATCGACATCCCAAATAAAGCTCGTACATTGCTCATTGAAACTAGTTGCGAGATTGAGTGTATTTGAGAATATCCAGAAAATGCATAGTATAAACGTATGTCCAAAATTAATTATTCGAACATTACGTAATTGGTTTTACGATTAAGAATGGCAGTGGTAAATCAAAAAATATTTAGTTGCTGTGGTACCGGAATTACTAGAACAGATCTTATACTTTTTAGCTTTGGTACAAGTGTGGTTCCTATTCTATGGCATCGCGTTGAGTTTTGGCAATTGATAAATTTTAAAAAAGTCATGCGTGGAAAGATAAAGCCAACCTATTGCTCCACGATGGTACAGTATATCTCAGATTGGAAGGTTTAAAAATCAAAGATGCGTTGATTAGTGCGATACGTATTACGCTTATGCCCAGATAAACGTACGTACTCTCATTATTGATCGAAGTGATGGTTTCTCTAATATACCAATTCTAGAAATTGTGGGATATTGCCCAAAGCTGTTACATCTGAGTCTTAATTCATGTATGTGTCTCACTTCACTAATCGGTGAATCACCGAAATTTTTCCTTGGCATTTTTCTTGTAAAACGAGGTTACTTATGTAGAAAACTTCCTGAACCGAGACCATCGGCATTAAGAATTCTCCACACGAACGTAACTCATTATTTTTTTTTCCGTTCTATAGTTTTTGAGGAAAATCGGTGATGATGATAAAGCACTCGAACAATGCATGAATGAAATTACGTTGAGACTTACGAATCTGGAAACAATGCAAACTAACGCCAACGAAGACATGCGATGTGTATTCATCACATCGATATTAAATGCATCTCTTGCGATCGTTCGACGACTTACTAACGAAGAAAAAGAACATATATATATATAAAAGGGAACGAAGATTTTATGTGTATAACAGAAGGGAAACCTCGTAATGTTGAAATCTGTTATCTCCGGAATATCATGCAATTAGAGAGTGCATATCATACAAACAAAAAGAAACGTACGGCTGATGAAGCATTTCGATTATGACTATCTTTACGGGATAGTATCTACAGGTATCTATATCTTACCATTGCCGTAATAGAAATTTTAACTATACAACTGATTACAAATTAATTTTTTTAGCCACGGAATGGCATTTCATCGTTTTTGCTACCGATGGGCTCTATTTTACGAGTAAAAGCGAATATCAGGTAAATCTCTCCAAAACAGCCCTTAAAGAGGATGTCGACTCTATCCGAAAAGGGTGTTGGGTGTTATTGTTGGATTATTAAAGGATCGGATGAGTGTAGATAGTCCCCCCCCCCATCAGTAAAAAAACCAGGATCGAAAAATTTATAAAAAAAATAGTGGGTAAATAGTTTTCCTGCCTCATGTATTTTTTATATTTTATCAATAAAGCATTAGACCAAAGGGTCTACACTTTTTTCCGATAATTTTTGCGTGCGGTGATATCATAAATCAATTTTGAATATATCTATATTTTATTTAAAAAATGGCTAAGATTTATTTACTTGAAGAACAGAATTCTAAACTCGTAGCCGAGATTGCCGAGCTTAGAAAGGAGAATGCCAAGATATCCGAACTTGAAAAGAAATTTGCCGAGGTTAAAGCTGAAAATGTGAAGCTGAAGCAGATTATTGAGGCGAATGTAAAGCGCGATGCTAGAGTTGAGAAACTAGAGCAAAAGAATATACTGTATTAAAAAAATATTAAACCTGGGCATGTATGGGGGTTAATGGCTCTGTAAAGTGTGTTGTTAATTCATCTAACATTAATGAGGTATCACAATATTTAGTAAGCTATGTGATACAGCCATAGACGCCGAAGATCGAGCTTCGAAGGCTAATCAGGAAGAAATTATGTGTTGGTCTCTTTATGGTAGGAATTTTGAATTTCAAGTTGATAAGTAGTAAAAATAAAATTGATAAGAAAAAAGCAAGAACCTTAATTTATAATGAAATTGAAAATCAACTCTCTATTCTTCGTAAAGAATGATCATAAGATTTAGGTTTACAACTTACAAAAATATCACAAGATACCTTACGCAAAAAAAAAAACTCAAAGAACTGCAAAAATTTATAAGTTGTTCGAAAAGATACTGTAGGTTTACTGTAGATAAAATTAAACACATTAATAATTATAGCGCAAATTCAATCTCAGAGCTTACTAATGACCAAATTCAAGAGATTATTAATTATGGTTCAGAGAGTCAAATCTCTAATTCTCCTTCGCTTGAAATTTCCGGGATGAGCCGTCTCGAAAAATTTCACTTCACATCGAGGTAAGTGATTCGGTATCATCATGTCAGCTTACGATAAAAGCTAAGGTAAATATACCACCCGTATCTCATACTAGTGAACCCGATGATTCTTTAGATTCTAACTTGGAATTACCTGATGATGAGAAATCTTACGATAGGGTCAATAGCGATATTGACGTGAGACAGCTTCCAGCTGAGAATTTCTCTAATGATGATAAGGATTCCTTCAACATCGAAGAAGATGATGGCGACAATGGACGGTATTGCGGTTCTTCCGATGACGATGATAATAATAATAAGGAAGAAGCAGAGCTTCGAGGCTTTGCCTTATCTTCTGATAATAGTGACGATGATGAGGATTCCTTCAATAAAAATGAAGATGATGGGAGGTTCTGTGGTTTTTCTGATGATGATGATGAGAGCTATTACTATGATTTAAGTAGCGGGAAGAGAACGTATAAAAATTCGGATCATTTAATTAGTGTATATTAGGCGCAGAGCACTCTGTGAAGCAGATAATGAGGAAGAAGATGAGGCCACGAGAGCGGCTTTGCAAAGCAAATATAATTTCAGCAAACCATTTTTCGACGATGGTGAAGATGCTGGTTATTATTTTGAATTAAGTAAGTAGTGGTGGGGAAGATAAAAATTCGGAACATTTAATTAGTGCATATTAACATTGCTAGTTCCGCTAATGGATTTTCAGCACATGTCATTTGCTTTACAAAGCGACTTACGTCGCCTCGTGAGATCTAATAAAAATTCTTGCCGACTTGATTTCTGCTTAATCTTTTTTTCTGTACAGTACGGTCAACTCAACTCTCGATAAGTGCAACTTTGATCTAACGCCAATTAGTTATATGGATTGACGCTACTAATTCCATAATAGAAGTTGCATTTAGGTAATCGATATTTGGTTCGGTTAAGTAAGTTTAAAAATTAAAATCGAACCGAAACTGTATACCCAGACACTCCTATTTATCCATACGTTTACCTATCTAATTACTCTACTCATCCTATCTACCAATCCATTAACTATATTTATAAATTATTTCATATCCACTCATCCAACTTATTTATTTTTTATTTATCTATCCGTCCCTTGATTTATCTGCTCATTTATTCATTTACTCACCCCATCTCATTCATTTATTCAGCCATCTGTTCATCCACTCCACTCATCCGTTTGCTCTCCATTCACTTTATCCATCCATCCCCTCACCCTTCTGTTCACTTATCCATCCATTTCTGTTCACTTAATCATCCGTTCACTTACCTATCCATCCGTTCACTTACCTATCCATCCGTTCACTTAAACATCTATCCATTCACTTATCCGCTTATAAGCTTAAAAGTATTCAAATCAATGATTTTATTTAATTAACTAATTTAATCTTAAAACTGTTCACTACTTGTGATATATTAAATTCATCACTTTACTACTGCGCCACCTTATTTTAAATACAGTAATGTTATTGGAATTAATTTAATTTTAAAATTTATTAAATACATGTTAATATATTATAAAAATACAGTTTTAGCATATATTATATAGTTATACGTAATCACGATTTGTTATAAAAATAGCAGTAAAAATTTTCGGATTTCGCTGATGTTTTTCGAAAAGTTAACCGTTGCATCGAAGGGAAAAAAAAAATGATAATCGTAACTCAGATCATTAAAACATATCAATCAAGAGTTGACCGTAACGTTTCTATTGGTTGGAAGTGAGAAGAGTCTTCACGATTATCATATGACACAGTATGTTCTATCGTGGTAAAGCTGTGCGTGAATCATCATGAATCTGATTACTCAGGTTTCCTCTGCAGATAGTGAGAGTAATAATGAGGAAGAAAATGATGATATGGGTGCGATGTTTCCTGATGATGATGATACTGGTTAATATTATAATTTAAGTAGCGGGAAGAATACGTACAAAAAAAATTCGGATTATGATATTATTCGTGTAACCTTTGGCCTAATTTGTTGTGAATTCATTTCATCCATTCTGCACGCATCGAGCCATTGTTCGAAAACTTAACAAGGAAGAAAAACTCTATATTTCATTGCAGAATGATGACTCTGGTGAGGAAGTATCTGGGCTAGTTGATTACGCAATCAAGGGAAAGGAAGATCTCATGTAATTTTATTTTGTATCAATTAAGGGTCCAGGTGATCAAACCTAAAATGTGCCTTTTCTAGACGTTCTAATCAGTTGTGTTTTTGCTTGGGATTTCAAAATACCAATTTAATAATGATTGATTATAAATTTTAACAATAATGGACTATGAATTTTACGATATATATATGAAACTATAATAATTACGTACAATATAACGGTAACTAAATATAATATTGGTTTCTACTTGACATAATCTCGATGGTGTATATTTTCACTAACACATCCTATTGCACCTCCTGGGTGTGTAGGACAACCCCAATATACTGCAATCCAAACATCAAACCAAGTACCTTTTGGAGGTGTTGGTGCACCAAATCCCCACTTGGATGTGTATGACAGAGGTATATTTTCGCATCTACCACAACTACAACCATTAACCCATTTAGGATTTCCAACAAATCTGAACGTATTTTCCAGACCATCAATGCGCATAGTAAAGTGACCTATCGCACATGTTCCCAAACCCGTTAACAGATTAGGTGATTTAACTGTGATATTAAGTTCCGAATTTGGTAACAAATTGGCATATGTAACCTGAGCACCGCATTCTAAAAACAATGATTGTTACTTTTTTTTTTTTTTTTACTAGAGAGAATTATCGAAAAAAATTAACTTACTATAATTAAAATTTGTATCCTTTGCACAGCCGCCACCAATAGGATGACAACCATGAGTTTTTTTAATATGCATAATGAAAAATACAAGTAAAATGATGAAGTGTTTTTTGTTCATGGCGAATTATGATCTAATAATTATGTTTAAACGAATGTATTTATATATATTCTCAAAAAAATTATCTTCCCTTATAAGGGAATACAGTAATGCGTTACGATTAAATTAATTATTTATGGCCTTTTTTTTTTTTTTTTTTGTATTTATCACATGAAGTAAACAAGGTACGTACAGTATACTGTATCTTTACTATTGATTTTGTGTCATTTGAAATCAGATTCTTCTTGTTATTTATGATTGGTGAAAATGAGTCCAAAAAAAAATGCCAATCGCATTGATATTAATTTTTTATGTCTTTATGTCAAATTTCTTGTACGTACAATATGTCATTATTCTATAATTGTTTTCGATAGAAGTGTCCTTTGATTAACTATATGGGTAATTCTTTTTGAAGGCACGTACTGTATATACAGTACTAAAAATAAATGACATGGGAGGTGTTCTCCGTGCATTATTCTTACGGCACTTGTGCGTCACCTGTGCGTTACCGATTAAGTCATGTGTATCGGCTAGTTTGAAGTGTCCAACACATTCTTCCTTTGAGTTATTTCCTAAAAAGGAAAGTAGGAAGGTCTAGGGATTTTTGGGAAAGAGTTTTTTTAATAATCTTAATAAGATTTAGTTTTAGCAATATATCTTATAATGGAAAGTATACAAAATATTTAATAAAGTACACATATCTAGCCTAACAGAGGGTTTAAAAATTTTTTTTAAATTAAAATTTTTAATAAAAACATAATAAGTAAACTCAACCTCTTAAAAGCAATTGCATAATAAAAACAACTCTTTTTTAGATATCTTTTTTTGACTATTTGTTTCTTGATATTTTCTAAGTTTATAAAGAGTTTTTCAAGATATCATATTATTTAAAACTCATATACAATATGGAATAACTTAATAAAAATAATATAATATAAATATTATCTCAAGTAATAAAAAAAGTTATACTCAAAATTGCCAAAACTTTATAATAAAAATTGAAGTAACAAAGAAAAAAAATATAAATGCTATTTTTTTAAGTACTTCTAACAATATTTTTTATATTCTAACACAATAAATAAATATCAGTCTAGTCTTAAATAGAGCCTTCAATATTAAATATGAAAATATAAATAATCAAAATAATCTTTTTTTTTATTTCTAAAAACTTTCACTTAGAAACAAACTCTGAAATCGATTAATATAAAGAAATAGAACAATAAAACTAATATTAAGATAAAAAAAAAAAAAAACAAAATTGATAATATATAGTTTACTTCTAAACTATTTTCAATTGATTGGCAAATCAAATATAATAAAAAAAAATTCAACCAAATAGTTCTTATTAAAGAAGTTTCTGGAAAAAATAACTATAAAAAATCTAAAACTTGATGAAACACTTTATCAAATTCCAATTTTTTTTATATATTAAAATTAATAATCTACAAGATATAAGATATATTATTGTCTTATTTGATAATAAAAAAGATACAAATAAAGTTAAAAATCTTATTATCAACAATATTATCATTATTTATATAGTATATTAGTAATATCTACTGTATATACATACAATATATAATAATATTGAAATTAAAAATAAAAATATTTGAATATAAGACATTTCATTTAATTTCTTATACAAGGAAGTATATATGGCTTTTATTAAATTTGAAAATTCAATCTTTCAAAATACAAACAATCAATATATAATAATAGTTATAATAAAATATAAGAATTAAGAAAATCATAAAAAAATTTAAGTAGAATAAATAGTTTCTTTCAAATATAATCTTATTTATATTAGAAACATAATTTTATATCTTTTTATACTTTTTATTATTTTGTAAAATTGATTTGATAGAAAAAATATCTTTTTAATAATCCAAAATATTTTTCTAATTTTAATTTTGAAGTTTAATTTGTAATTTGTTGATTAGGACTAACATTATATATATATATATAATTACAAAATTTTTATATTAAGCTTATTAGATTCTATAGGATTATCTAAGATATCATTAACTCTTAATATTTGTTTTAAATAAATTTTAGTAATAATATTAAAAGTATTATTGTTGTTAAGTTAATAAAATAGTAATAATATATAACTTTTTAGTTATATTTTTTAAATACTTTTGAATCTATATATCTTTTTATTATAAATATAATTATTTGTTTTACAAATAAGAGTTTTGTTTTTTAAATTTTATTTTATATATAACTATGAAACTATTACAAGTTTTTTTATCAAAATGTGTATATCATATTTTATATTCTATTATTTATGAAATATAAACTTTATTTATAATATAACACATATATTATCGTGAGCTAATCCAACAAATCTGTCACTAATCAGTAGTGTCTTATATAACCCAAATAACTAACAATACTCACAATCTGATACAAAGAATAAAATGCCTCTTGTAAAAAATACTTAGAAAAAATAGAGACATAGTGATTGACTTGACCAAAGATAAGTATCTCTTTATTCACATTTTATTTTTTTTATATAATACTAATTATTATCTCTATTCACAATGAAACTGTTTTTAATATATTCATTACTGCCTTCTTGGCTTACACTAATAGACTATTTATATTTTTTTAGCTAACAATAGACTATTTACTTTATAATAAGCTATGCTAACTCTAAACTTTACTAAACTTTTTATACTCCATTAGTCACATATAGTTTCCTTATTAGTATTTGGGTCTCAATCCATAGTTTTTTACCTTATAACACTAAATCTTTCATATTAGACCTTTGAATTTTAGATTATAGACTATTATATATAAATCGTATCACCTATATAATCTCTGACAATATTTTTTAATTAACTTCTTCTTATTTATTACTTATATTATAGTTCTAATTTTGGATTTTATCAGGTTAATTATATTTTTATTGTTTTGCTTAAGTCACAACTAGATATTAAAAAATCTTATTTGATATTTCTTGTCAATTTCTTAAACTATAATACTTTTAATTTCTATTGAAATAGTTTTAAACTTTTAAGAATTCTAATTAATAATGAGAAGAATTAATTTTTAAATAATAATTTGAGAGTCATTAATTATATAAAAATATTTTGACTTTTTCAAAATACATTTCAAATCTTTTTGAACTTAACAATCTAAGTTATATCATCTATATAAATAATTATGACTTGTTTTAAAAAAAGCTTAATTTTTTCTTTATATTTGCAGAAGTTATATAAGTGATTATTCTTTTTTTATAGAATATCTAAAATTTTTATTGTTCTGAATTTTGTATAGTAAAGAATTATAAAAAATTCTCAATAATAGAAAAATTATTTTTCTTAATCTATATTATTATTACTATTATTGGATTAGATAGCTTATTAGATAAAACAATATTATAGTTTTTATTTTTAAACAAAACTATTTAAAACTTCATAATAGTAAAAGGAATTCTAATTTGATTCATAGTTTTTCTAATATAAAGAAACTTATTATATTATAAGTTTTTGTTATATTTTGAAAAGGAATCTATAGCTTCTTTTTCTTTTCTTTAGCTTCTTTATATATATTATTTAAGAGATGAATAAGTTCTGCTATATATTTTTTTATACAGTAGATCAGTAAAATTTGAATCTTTTAGAATTTTATATAGTTCTAGTTAATTGATTATGATCTTTATAAAACATATTTTAATTGTTTTAAAGAAAACTATAAGTTTTATATTACTAAGTTTATATTTCTAGAATTTTGATTTAGAAATAAAATAAATATTACTTTTTTTCAATCTCTTAAATATTTAATCAATGAGTGATTAAAATCTTATTTAAAAAAAAATATAAAATTCCTTTTACTTTTAAAATTCATGTATTTAATTATTTTATAACTTATATATAAAAGACCTATTATCTTATTATTTAAAAAATATATTAGAATAGCTTTAAAGTTTTTTTATTTTAATTTTTTCAATTAATAAAAATATTATATTGAATTTATCCATTTTTTAAATTGGTATTCTTTTTTAT